TTTCGGAAATCACCATATTTGCTCATCAGTATTCTTTCAGTAGGATTCGAACCAACGATTTTTTATTAAGAATTATTGCCACTAATCTGCGCTTGCCTGCTCACATTTCAATTTCGTTTACTTCTCAGTGGCTGTAAAGATGTAAGTAGTTTCCTTTCACTAAGTCAGAGTATTAGTACTTCCTTGTGAAATATTATCAGACTAGAATCTGGGTTGATAAAAAAATATATATTCGCTCAATTTGCTTCACTATATCGCCAGAGGATGTTGCTAGAGGCCCTACATACAGTGTTACATAAGCGCCGCTAACGACTTAAAAAATTTGATGAATGGATATGTACATATGTATGTATGTGTTATAATTAATTTTTTATTAACTCAAACGAGCACCTTTTAACCCATTAGTTTTTATTAGTTTAATTCATATTAGTTGTTCAATCGCATGTCTTTTGTATTTTCTGCTACAATTAGTAAATTTATACTCGCACATATTGCTTCCGCATTGAGTGTCCATTCAATCGCGCTAACTGCAGCGGTTAAGTGCCAACATATACACTCGCAAGTACGTATGTATATTGCGTGCCACCGCCACACTCGATTTTCCCAAGCACAGCATCCAAACGCTCGAAAACATGCAAGCAAACGCGCAAAAACAGCAGCTAACTGGCCAGCCGGTGAGTGGCAATTATTATATATTTTTTTTTGTGCGTAAAACTAAAAGTAATATATCTATCACATAAAATGCTTTAGGCGCTTTTTATTGACTTCATTAACCATGCTAAGGCCGGTTGGATGCATGGATTGTTGTGTCAACTTTTCGAATGTTTGCGGTTTAATCGATTTTGTTTCTCATTGTGCTTTTTGACTAAATGCTTTTATATTAAATCTTTTTTAACTCATCATTTAGCAGTTCGCATAGATGAATCGAAATTTTATCACATTTTTTTTAACGCATATGTTTGAAAATACTTTCAATGACAAAGTTTAGAATTTGAAGGTGATAAACAAAAGACTTAAGCAACGAACTCGGCGGTGCGTTTGATTTTTAATTGACGTTTAAAATTTATGTTAGATTTGAGGTAGATGTTAATTTTTAATATGTGTATTTCAAAGACAGATTATTTCTTTTAAAGACACTGTCTAATAGAGCTTGGCCTATTTCTTAAAATTAGAGTGGCTCAAAAGAAGAGACATATAAGCGCCCTTAAATAGTATATGTGTATATAAACCTTTATTTCAATCAGTTTCCATTTTACAGAGATCAGTAAGCCACGTTTTCCTATATCTGTCTGCACTAGCTTCGTGATAATAATTGAAATCCAACCAGACCCACCTACCGGCATGTATTTCGATACGCTGAATCCGAATCTGAAGCCTGTTTGAGGGCGTACTAGCCTCAAAATTTTGAGTAAATTTAAAAAAATATATATAGTATATGGCTAAGAATTCGTAATTTACTCGAGATTTTGAGGGCGTACGAGTCACACAGACCTCATAATGGGATTCACCGGCTCAAAATAGCTGTCGGTAGATGGGTCTGGTTAAAAGCACAGACCACTTTTTTTGTGTGCCGGTGTCAAGCCAAGATCCTGGTGGAATGTAGTGAAATTCTCCACACAGTTGCCACCTTCAATATTCTTAACTATTTTGAAAGGCAGAAAACCACAATTTCAATTAGAGATATCTTTATCAAATATGGGTCTCCCACACTCCCCACGGATGCAGTAGGGTTTCAAGTCCAACTCATACACACGGATCTGTAAGAGGGGGAGAGGGAGAAAGATAGTAACGGTGACGTTCGTGCTTGAGGAGAGATCGGATCGGGCATCGCAGTTCCCGTAGTCGCACACTAACTAGTGTCTGCTGCGGAAGCTGTGGTCTGACAAGAAAAGGATGAGCGACAGGCTCGAAGACCGTACACCTTCCCCCTTAGCTAGTTGAACCGCGCGCAAGTTCAATGCTTTATAAACCCAGTGCTACACACTGCTTGAGAATTCGTTTATGTGTGCGGGCGCGATTCAACTCGGCAAACGAAGTAGTTGGTAAGTAATTCGGGTACGCTGTTGGTATATTGCTAGCAAATCTCACATACTTAGTATTAATCTGTATGTATACACTGCGTTGTTGGTACTATATTATATGGATGCCTAGATCTGTACATTTGCGCAGCTGCCGTTCCCTAATTTCGCGACTTCGCGTAAACTTCTTTTGACATATCTTTTTGGGGCACATCTGCGGTGGGCTTTAGTCGGCTGCGTAGACGAACTCCGGCCTTTCAACAGGTAACTACTATTGGAAGCATTAGCGCTGTGGGGGTACATAGCCATGAAGGATTTCTTCTTCCGTAAAATTATTTGATTTGATGTCAATGCGATTGAGGCATTGTTGTTCTCGATTATTTTTATTGTCCGTATATATAACCTTTTTCCGATCAAGCAACGAACGGGTAGTCTAGACAATCGGATTCTCTCATTTTAATAATATCTTAATCTTAATTGTATTAGCAAAGGGTTCATGTAAAAACATTGGCAGCTCTGCGACGATTATATGGATGTCCGTGTATTTAATAAGCACTAAAGGTGCACTAAGGAATGCTTCATTCCGATGTAGTTTCTTATTTCCGCAGAAAAAATCTGCTGGGTTGGAATGTCCTGTCTCTGGATACTACTGAATTTTTTATCTTGCGATCCAATGCTTCGTGGTACCAGAATGTCGTCGGCTTTTTGTCGCTTATGATTTTGGCCATCAGCTCTTTGCTACATTATGACGTGATCAATGCCGATGCGATGGCAGTGGCAGTCGTACTTTGTAGTGGACGGATGCAGTAGGGTTTCAAGTATTTTAGCTGCAGGGGATAGTAGGATAATCGGTATGTCTTCTGTGATTGGAGTCACCTCATTCCTCTGCTTTCATAGATCTGAGATGAAAAGTATGCCAAAGAATTGTTGAATAACGTAATTATGTACATAAAAAACTCTCGGGGCTTTGGATTCTTTAGCATCGGCGGGGATATGCCATCCGAGTCAGCAAGTAAATCCTGACCGGCGCATGGTCACCTGCTAGACATTCGAAAGGCATCTCTTCGTGGACGAGATACAGACATATATTACGTCGCACAGCCACTGGACTAGACTGGCAAAAAACGACGTTCATCGAGAGACAATTACCACCTTTACTAACCCTCACCATGTGAATGCCGAATAAGGAGTTCAACCACCACCCATTGCAGATCAAATGTTTCAGCTGTATCGAGGTTCTTGCGTAACTCTTGTGCAATAACGATAAGGATGATGTAGCAAGTTAAACTTTTATTTGTCAAGACTTGATTCCGACTTACCCGCTTTTGAAGGCGCCCCATCAACCACCTCTGCACTTGCCCCATAAACTCATTCAGATAACACCTCTTTTCTTTAAAACCGACGCCGTAGAAACAGCATATGTTTGTATGGTGAAAGGTGAATGCAAAGAGGTATGGGGTATGATGAGGACTTTACCCGAGCTCTGGGCAGGTGCTTGCCGCTTCTAAACTCAGCCGACTGTGCCAGTTGGTCTTCCATGAACCTACATCAACACTACTAAATATGAGTGGGGTGGTCTAATGGTTGCGAGCCAATGCAATTTATCAGACCCACTCTTTCAGTGGTTGTCGCGCGAGCTAAAGTAGTCACCCGCGAACCATAAGCATGTTGTTGTTGAAGCGGTATACTTAGCAATTCCCAGATCGGGCAGAAGTAGTGAGGTGACTCTCCGTATTCCGGACGCTCATTGGGCACATCTGCATTCATCCTATTCTGCAGTATCCAGAGCGAAATTGGGATATGGTGCCGCGAGTCTCCCGAGGCAGACGAAGTACTATCTCGTCAGGTGACTGTGTTCCTAAAACGGCATTCACAGGTGGTCAGTTATTGTAAGTTTAGATCGAATCCATGTGTATGCCGTTTATGGCTGTCTGGTCCAGTGGTTGTTTTATGAAACTCTGTACCTCATACGTCAGTTCGTCCCTTCTGAAGTGCCTAAGCGAGGGCGCTGTAGCAAGCAGGCATCTGCTTAGTCATGTAGGTGGTGTTCTGGCGACATAAGAAGACATCAGAAGACATTCCGTGGCAGTTCGGAGTGCCGTGTTTTGGCAGGGATATAGCTTCATCCACTACGACTACGGGCGCTGCATAGTTTCGAACCAGCCGACCAATCTCCATGTATGTAGCCAGCAACGATTATTCGGCTTTGTTCCGACGCTAGACTCTATTGACCATTGCGGTTGTGTTCGCTGGGGAAAAGAGTAGAACTCGGTTTTTACCCGACTAAGGGCTGTTGTTTCGGCGATCTAACCCTGTTTAGGTCGGCGAAATCTCTTAAATGTTATTCGTCCTAAGCGCAACATTTGCTCTTAAAATAGGCAGGTCTTAATAGTTCCTTTCAATAAAAAAGCCTCCCAAACACTTTTCTCTACTAATTTTTAAAATGAGTTCACTGGTGAAATGATATACACAGTACAATAGGTCCTTGCGCTCTTCGAAAAACCAGGATACTTAGTTTTTTCAGAATTTGTCGATTTTATTAATAATTTATGTATAGTTTTTTCATTACAAATTCAAGTTACATTATATGCCTCACAATTAGTTTAACTACATTTTACAGTATATGCACATTATTTACTAATAGTTTGTTAAATGAATTTCTATACGTTTCATTTTCACTTAAATTGTTTGTGTATATACTTCATATGTATTACGCTTGAATGGTTTAATAGTTTATTAAGATTTTTTATATTTGTTTCAGTGATATACAACTTTCTTGTTATTGTTAAAGGTATATATTACGGTAATATATTGTATATGTGTATATATTGGTTTTCTATTTGTATGTGTTGTATATATACATAGTATGTAAAAATTCAATAAATACACATAACATACAATGTTGATTTCTTTATTTTTGTATTGTTTGTTGGGTTACACTTTCAGCAGAAGTTTAAGCTAGCAAAAGTTTTAAGTATTTTATTCTTTTTTTTGTGGAACGTAAAAGAATACATAGTCGTAGAGTATATAAATATGTTAAAAAGTTATTAAGGCGTTTTGAAAGTAGATTTCGTTTTTTTTTTTGTATTATTTTACAGTTATAGATAGATGCAGCAAAATGCAAAATGGTACATGAGTAACTAACTACAGATACAGATGTTTACAATATTTTGTTTTAAAAAATATAATTAAGCTTTTGTGAGTAAAAATACTTTTTTTAGGTTCTAAAAGAAGCCAAGAGTTTGAAAATAAGTTCAAAATGTAAATAAGTAAAATTTAGGAATAGCAAATCGCACACTTTCTTAACCAATATATTTACAGCAAGTTTTTGTTTAATTTTTTTCTTTATTTAATTCCTGCCTTTTGATTATACTGAGCTTTTTATAATTTTCGTTCAACTTTCATTTTGCAACAGCAACTTTTGCTTATTCTCCAATTCTTACACATATTAATTTTGCATTTGTTTAACTTTTTGTTGTTATTATCTCAATATCACATATGCTTCCTTTCGAACGCATTAAATTCAGCTTAGGCTCTTAAATGCAACGCAAGGAAACATACATATGAATTTCAATCGTTCGTCATACCGCTAAATACCTTACATCATTTACTAGTACAACTTTTATAACAAAAAAATATTTAACATGCATTAAACGAAAACGATGTGTACCTTGTTAGAAAACTAAAAACCTACATATACATTAGAATTACATACTTTACAACAATGTATGAGCGCATTGTATTGGTGTTCTATCGAAAAACTCAAAAAATAAAAATCATAAAAGCGCTCCACTAGCACTAAAACAGCTCACACGAAAGATTATCATTTCGAATACTTAGCGCGCGCATAGTTCAAAGAAATGCCTCTACCGCTAGATGCATATAAAAAAATAAACGCAGTGCGTAGATTTTAAATGCAATAATTCGCCAACAGTCTCCGGTTAGCGTGCTTAATAATGATGATTATAGCAGCGCAGGATCGCTGTCATAATGAGATTTTTTCCCTGCCCTTTTTTTGCCGATCAAGCAGGAATGTTATTTTTTACCTTTAATTTTAGGGAGAATATTGCTTCAAAAATACATTTTCAGTTTCTTAGTCCAATTCTTATTAGTTTTTTTTTTTTGGAGGGTGTATAAGTGCGTGTTATTGTTTCAGTGTTTTTGCAATAAATATTTTTTTTTTTATAAATGTTATTGTACGCTGCATTGCTTTTATCAATTCATCTTAAACATCATCAATAAGATGACCTTCCACCACAGCTGAGTGATGATAACGACTACGTTGCGAAAAATCTGCATTCTCTTCATTGAGCTGCGTAGGCGAGAAATCAACGCCGGGACAGGTAGGCGTTACGACAACCTGCTCGTACTGGTGTATGCGTTTACTGAAAGAGAAACAAAGTTAACAACAAAAATGTATGGTTAAAAAAACGAAGATGTTGTTGTTGTAAAAGCATGTGAATTTCGCAAAAAGTTTGGAAAATGTTGCCGTGTGAAATGACTGGAAATGACAAAGAGAGCCACGAATATAAAAGTGGCATATTTTTGGCAACCTAAAGGTGTTGTATACTCCTTCTCTTTTACTTTAATTACTTTCTAAGCTTAACAAAATTCGCCAAGCTTTTTGATTTTTCATCCGTAACCTAACTATTCAATCTTAATCTAACTCACCCGAAGCACCGGAATATAACGCTCTTAAGCCACGCAAAGAAATTAAATTCCGCTGTTAAGCCCGGTTTCACTGCCGGATTGGCTGTGCCCACATAGAACCATACAATGAACACAACCAGGTAGCAGGTGAGCGCGTAATACCAGTTGACCAGCAACATCACGAGTAACTTCAGGAAAGTCTAAAAGCAACAGCATTATAAATAATACTCATTAATTTACTCTCATATGCACGCCGCATACCCCCATAAGTGAGGCCCAACGATTGCAGAACGGCGAATACCAGTTCTTCGTCTTCGAGTGTATGGGCAGACGTATAGGCGCTATGGGCTCCTCATCCTCGGCAGCCTGCTCTGGCACGCCAGCTTCGGCTGCATTTGTGCTGTTGTAACCATCACGAAAAGCAACACTATTTGTATCGCTGCCGTAGAGTTGGTGCTGTTGTTGTTGGATATGATTGCGTTCAGTCTCATGATTGGCTGCCGTCGCCGCTGCTGCCGCAGCAGTTGCTATAGCAGCAGCATTAGATGATGTGATATTTGAAGGCACATGATGTGGTGAATTTTGTGGTGTTTGTTGTAAGTTTTTATGGCGTACACGATCTGGGAAAAGTAAATCCAAATCGTTGCCATCCTGTGCAGGTGATTGCGTTGAGCCATAGCGACGCGTCTCATACGAGGGACTTGACGCTTGTATACGGAAGCGTTCTTCACGTTGCTCTTGTATGTCAAAAGTTTGAGCCAAAGCAAAGTAGGAGTAGTCAATGCAAGCGTAGGTAAGCAAAAAAGGCATTGTTACGATGGGTGCAAGAAAGTTAATATCACCCACTATGATAAATGTGACTGTAACAACAGCTACTACACCCATTGCGTAGAGTGGCACCTTGTTGGGTCCGCGCTGTGAGGTGGAAATTAAAAAATCATTATCGGTTTAGGTTAAATTGCTTCAAATTGTACTAACACCCTTGCCCAGCACATCAATGCCGGGTATAGCGCTCTCATTGGCGATGCTTTGCAGCACACGCGGCGTGCCATACATTGCACCCAAACACGAAGACATGCTGGATACATAAATGCCCGCAAGCAATAGAAACGGCACCGCAGATACTTTTACAGAAATCATAAAGTCGTTAAGCAGCGTAGGTCGGGTGCAAGTAGCGCCCAAGAATAGCACAAAAACCATGTAAAGGAATGTGCTAAAAACCACAACAACAAAAATAGGTTAGATTTGCGCTCACCACGCAGTTAATTATACTCCGCTTACCCTGTGCCGAACGCCGCCAGTGTGCCATTCGGTATATCAGTCGAGGGGGCACGCAGGTCACCGCTCATGTTAATTCCGGATAGCACGCCTGTGACGGTTGGAAAGAATACACCAAACACCCTAAACCAGGAGTAGCCGTCCTCATACTTCGGCATCAAATTATCCCAGAAGTTACTACTGTCCCAGCCATCAAAACCATTATCTGTAAATTATTGTCAAATAAAGCAGATTTGAAGTAAAAATTTTATACCCCAACTTACCTGGATCTCCACCTATGAAGCTGCCCACCATAAAGTCTAATGCTGACACTAGTAGTATCATTAGCAATATGAATTGCAGTTTAATAACCCACTTCACGCCGGCTACATTAATGCAACCTAGCAGCAGCACCGCTGCTGTAGCGAAACCACGTATCGCCCACTTATTGTCCGCAAGTCCGACAAGTCCGGCCATACTCTCGCCGAAACCCATCACATTCAAGGCGCATCCCACAGCTTGTCCGAAGCAGTATAGTAAACCAAGTGAGCCACCAAAGCGCGAGCCCAACGTATGTGCTATAAGAAAATACACACCGCCACTCTCTACGCGACAGCGCTCGCATATACCTACTGCTGAAAGCACCGAGACTAAAGCTATCACTACGGTGCAAAAAATAATTAGCACTGCATTGATTATACCAGCTTGCGCAACAACCCAACCAGAGCGTAAGAATACGATCACACCGAATATATTTATAAGACAAGATGTGAATACGCCGTCCCAAGTGCCGAAGAGCACTGGCTGTGAGATAAAGAAATTTGAACGCCACCTGTAAAAAATTTATTGGCAATATACATATAGGTAGATACTGGTATCAAATAATTGTATTTGCTTTATAGCAGACGAATTACCATGGCTTATCGCCTTGTTCATCGGCGAATATTTCATTCCGTCCAGACGCTTGATGTCCACCCGCCGCATAAGTGTACTCGTTGCCCAAATCCACAAAGCCACCAGAATTGCCGCGTTGACGAAAGTTTGCTACCACAACATCCCCGGGGCCATCATCATCTAGGCCAAAGCGATTCCAATCGACTTGGCGTCGACCACCGCCGTTAGCGCGAACACCGCCGCCGCTATTACTCATCGTTGTTCTTGTTGGTGCGTCGTTAGTTAGCTGTTAGTAATTAGCTTTCTATGTATGCTGGCTTTTGTTTATGACTATTTTCGGTGCTCCACGCAGGCAATTGGCCACGAATTCACCACAAACAGCCTGCCTGCCAGCTGATAGTATTTTGCTTTATTTTTAATGTTTACCGAGTTTTACTCAATGGAAAATGTTTCGCAATTCTTAAATCCATATGTTAGCTTGTCGTACGCGTGGTTTTGTGCCGATTTTCGTTGCCAGAAAATGTTTGGTTTTAAGAAGAATTGCATTTACGATTGCTTTTATTTATTTGTTTTGTGTGTTTGTGTGCCAACCAGTTGTCAAACTGATGTCATTTGCAGGGCTGCCAGACGACTGTATCCAAGGAAAATACTCGAAAACATGTTCGGCTTGAGAAATTCTTCTAGGGCTTGCACAGTGTATCTAATCGTTTTTGAGTGCGGAAAAATCACTCGAATTAAAATGAAAAAAAAAAAATAAAATAAAATATAAGTAAGCATTACAAAACAGAAAAGTAATTATTGAAATTAAATTCAGATAAGTTAAACAAATAAAAAATAAATCTACAGAATGTAATAAAAATAAAAGAAAAAATCAAATTAAAAATTTATTAAAATGGAATAGAATTAAATGAAATTAAGCAAAATAAATACAAAATTTTTTCGTATATACCATAAGCGCGCCACAGACAAGTCTTAACAATTTTTTTTGTTATTAAATTTAATTATTTTTGTAAAAATATAGTTCATTTTTTAACAAAGTTAATAATAAAATAAAAATAAATCCATGTTTAAAACCGCATATATGCAATACTAAAAAAAAATCAACAAACTTGCGTAAAAATTTCAACAGTAGTCCTAGCTACTTCGAACTTGCACTCTATTATATTAAATTTGAATGAGCTACAAAAACGCATACTTAAAATCTTTCTAGGGAATCTAACTAAAAACTCGACATGTTCACAAAAATTTGTTTTTTTTTAATACTGCACAAAATTTAAAACTGGGATTTATTAGTCCTCTGTTAAATAATAAACTATATTTTTAGAAAAAAAAGATGTTAATGAAATAGAGAGATAAATTCATAAAACTTGCCTGTATAATTATGACAGGGTGTGTATTAATACACATTAAATTATTTTATTATTTCTGCATCAAAAATTAAAAAAAAATAATTTATATGTATATCGAGTCAAACTTTAGGTTTTAGATTTTGCTGATTTAAAAAGAAAAAAATATTTATATTGCATTCAATTTTTAAGAACTTATTTTATTTTTTCTTTTTTGTTAGATTTTGTTGTGTTAAAAAAGATCAAATTTTTATGAACTTATTTAATTTTTTGTTTGTTTTTTAATTTCATTTTTTAACTTAATTTGCTTCAATATTGTTTTAAACAGGCATTTTTTGTTTTAACTTTATTTAATTTTTGGTAAGTCACTTTACATATTTTTTAATTTGCTTAGTTAATATTTTTAAATTTAATGTTCTTTTAATTTTTAGAATTTATTGTTTTAAAAACAAAAATATTTTTTTTTTTGTTATTTTATTTCCTTATAACAATTATATTCAACAATTTTTTTAAGCTTGGGCCGTTTTTAATGAAAAACTTAATGTTGGAAAGCAACAATAATTTGAAAAAATGGTAGAAATGATAGCTTTTTCGGAAATTACCACACTTGCTCATCAGACTTCTTTCAGTAGGAAAAAACTTAATTTTATGAATTTTTTTAATTACATATTTGTTTTTCTTTTTTAATTTAATTTTCTTTCAATTTGTAGTTTTTATCATGATAAAAATATAGTAAGGTAGAACCGCTGAGAGTCACTTTTAAGATTCTTGACGTTTCCAAACAATTTAATTTTTAAATTTACTCACAAACTCACACACACATTTTCATTTTCAATCTCAAGCAACAACAATTTCGAACAATTTCAATTTTTTATTTTCACTTTTATATGATTTTAAAATGTTGGCAAACTTCAAAAAAAAATCATGGCCGACAAATTGAGGAAACGGTTATACCTTGCTATGTTTTTATCATGGTTTTTATTGCTTTCAAAAGAAAATTTTTTAAAATTAAATTTAACTTTTTTCAGTTTCTTTAAGAAATCTCGCGAGGTTCCTTGGCTAAATGCTTTTAGGTCAAGTGTTTCCAGAACGGTGACCACAGAAATCGAATTTCGGGCCTAGTAAAGTCCAATCTGTCAGAGTTTTATGTAGGTGGAGTCGCCAGTATAACGCGCCAACTATGTCGACATTAACCAGCGTACCTACTGCGGACGTCTCTGAAAGTGTTAGCCTCGGTTTTGAAACCATTCGATTGGTACGTTATTTTCTGATGGAATTCTCTGGAGGTCAACATCTCACTTACCTCTTTTCTCACTCATATTCTCAAGGTATTTCTCAAGTGACGCTAGCCTAGAAATCGGGCTTAGGGGGGGTCAGAGCACTTTTTTTCATATCAGTTGCTTCTGCCAAGAACTAAGACCATAGCATTTCGAAGAAATTGAGAGTTGCATATGCATCGTGAGAAGGAAAGTGATATAACCAACACGATGCCCTGGAAACAACTCAACTAAGGCCCCTTTCGCATTGAATCGACCCCATCAAAACAGCTCGTTACATGGGCGTACCGTTAGTTGAGCTTGTCGATTCTATGGTTGGAAGAGTAGCTCCGGTAAAGATGACCAATGTGCAGCTTCAATAACAAACAACATGCAACCGTATTAAACTTTACTTTGAGATCAGGAAGGCAGTTTGGGCCTGGCAAATCGGTATGCCTTGTCGCTTCAAAGCAGAGCGTTTGTGGAATGAGTGTAACTGTATCACCCCAAGAGAAATTGCTTCGACAATCATTTGTTAGGCTCTTTCAATTCAAGCTTACGATTGTAACCGGACTCGTTTTGACACGGAGGTTTCCCAGCGTGTGCTTTCGTTCTATGTCAGGATGCTGAAAATGGTGGAAAATAAAGAGACATTTGAGAGCTTCTGAAAGGCCTATGATTAAAAATGTTAGTGAATATTATGTGCCTACTCAGTAGTTCGCTTGTATGTATTTGCACGGTAGGATCAGTGAAATTATATTTAGTAATCGTTAAATAGACTAAGCTTTTTCTTAATTAGTCCAAGTTTAATTAATACTACTTTCCTAATCCCCCGTGAGTATCAGGTCACGGAGGAATATAAAGAAATGAGTCAGCCGATCACCTAGCAAAGAAAGTAGGCCCAAACATGACCAGGTAAGGGTTTACCAAGAACGGAAACAATAGGAATGAGAGAATAACACTGGAATAGTACAATAGCACTTCGCCAAGCCAATGCCTAAATGGTGGCAGGGGGTGAAACCTGAAAATATAAAGGCTCAAGCCTACCTAAAAGGAAAATAAAGAATATCATAGGCATCCTCACGGAGCACTGCTCAGAAGTTCCCTGTCGCTCTCCGCTAAAGGGAACCATTAGATCAGCTTATTGAGTGTGAGGCTGTATCGAGGCGATGCGAGTGGAGTGTTAATTGGGAACCCAGGACCTCAAGCTTGAGCCTTTCTTGACCCCTTTATAAATCTTAGGAAATTATTAAGGAACGGAGAGTAGTCCATTCTACAAGGCCGAGGACCGATCAGACTCCTTTGAGCACCACATTTGGCTAGAGTGTCAGCCCTTTCCTTGCCATCGAAACCTTCATGGCCCGGAGCTCACCAAAACGTTTCTCTGTATTGGCTCCTAGTTTTTTCTACTTCCTAGTTTGTCAACTTGCTTTGACAAGAGTCAAATGCTCTTAACGCTGTCTGGCTATCCGATATGATATTTTTTGTAACCCCATTAGTCCTTCTGAGAAGACTTTCGTGAACACAGACTTCAATTGTACTTAGATCCATAAACGCCGGGCGGATCGAAGTTTGATTATGAGATCATGGCATTCGATAGCGAGTGCGCTTCGCCAATTTGAATTGTTTTGAGGGAAAACTGCTGTAATTTTATTCAATTCGATCACGCATGCCATGAGTTCGGGCAGGCGTAGACTGCTTATTTAAATTTTGAAGGCACTTAAAGGCTCTTGTTTAATATAATGTGAAATTGGAGAAAAGTATTAAAAAAATTAAGTTTTATATGACTTTAACCAACATAAGTACACTTTTATTATTCAATATATATACATACATATTCTTAAAAAAATTGCCATATAAATTAATTTCATGCTCCGAAGAAGACCTCCTCTAAATCCATACCCATGCGCTAATTACCCCAACGCTTTTGACCTCCAGTATAGGTGCGATCGTGCGGATTAAATGGTGGCGTGCCGGGTACTTGTATTGGGCGTTGAGCGCCACCATTACGGCGATTCCAGTTGCGATCGACGAACGGCTCAGGCTCAGCGCATGTCAGTTGTGCCATCAGAGCTATAACAGCCAAGATTAGAATGCCGAAGAAGTTTTTGCCGAACATTTTTCCAAGTGTTTATTGCAAACTGAGAAGATTTGTGTTTAAGAATTGAGTTTTAATTAGCTGAATGTTATGCCGCTGAATGATTTCAATCAGCGCTTGTAAGCACTATTTATACGAAAATGTTGATGATCGCAAAAAAGTACCGCTAAATTTGGCGAATTGCAACAAAATGAGAATGTGATGAAAGCGGAATGTTTTTAAGGTGCACTATGAATTATAATTTTATGCTTGTACATACCCATATAGAAAGAAGTACGTATGCATATACTAAATACCTAAGTATGTATGTTTCTTAAATGAGATTAAAAAAAGCAGACAGATCGAAGTGTTTTCTGAGCGTTGACTGATAAGAACCGCTGCAGGGGAATCCTCAGGCGAAATAATAAAAGATCATACATACGTATGTACATACCTACAAAAGTAGGGGGAATTCTCATGTACATATACACATCTATATATAAGTACATCCCCAAAGGTGTTTAGTAACCCAAGCCCATTCCTCTATGACGACCATTAATCACTACATTTGTTTGTA